TCCGCCTATAACACCACATTTCGAACGCTTCTAACCTTTTCTTTTCCGCCGCTCCCACTGTCCATGTTTCACACCCGTACAACGCCGTGCTCCAAACATACACCTTTAACAACCTTTTTCGAATTTCTAAATTAACCGTTCGCTAACATAGAAGTGACTTCTTTTTATTGAAGGCGACTCGACCCTGCGCTATCCTTTGCCTTATAACTCTACTACTCCTTCTTTCCTGACTTATCTTTTTTTATTTATGTCGCCCATTTTGATTGAGGGTACCATCTTGAGTTCATAATGCACGCTCATGAATATTCGTTGTTCGAATAGTGTTGTATCCAATATTACTCTTCTTCATCATTTTGTCTGTTCTCTTTATAATTGGAAGTGAGTATTTTTTATGAAGAGGCTTAAGGAGAGCTGTTCCATTTTCATCGGTTTTCTAACGTTCTTTTCCGACTGATTTATTGTACCTAAGCTATTCAAAAATTCCATTGTTCATTTCCATGCTACCTACAAATCAGTGGAATAAATAAATATGAAAATTGGGTTATTATGAAAAGTGTTTAAAAAGCGGTGTGGTCGTATTTTCAGTTTTCAAGAATGATTTGTGGAGATATATATTTGTTCTGTTCACTATTAATCTCTGCAAGGTAATAAACAACGCTGGGAAAATTTACGATTTCTGGCAAGTCAGCAGCGGTCAGAGGAGGTTTTCTTTTACAAGAAACAAGTTCAAGAGTCAAATAAATAAACGAGAATATTCGTTTTGTGGTTCGACGTATTGGCAAGAAGCAGTGACTTCCTTCGGTAGGAGTTCCTTGGGGAATCCTGCAAGATACGACGTTAGACAGTTTGAATTTAAAATTGATTTTACTATAATACGCAAAGAATGCTTGGTTCCGTAATGTACCNGGCGCTTTTCTTCATGTGCGCCGTATCTGTAAACGTGTGTGTAGTACCTGCGTTCCGGGAAAGCAATTAAACCGTTCAAAGAAAACGAGACTTCTCTGGACGGTTGGAGAACGTTGCCGAAAGGAGGCAAGGGAGTATAAAAAGGAAGAGACGAGTAGAATAAATTAGTTTGTAAAACGTTCACCATTAAGTTTTGAATTGCCTCTTATAGAATCCTAACGAAATATAAACTTCTATTCTCTAGTAAACGAAATAAGTCAGAAAATTTCGTAAGCAAAATAAATTATGCCTTTAATAAAAATAATATAATACAAAAGCTCCTTAAAAATTACTTTTAAAGGGGCTCAAATAGACCTCCACACTGTGTGAAACAATAGGGTTCCAGTCTACTGTAAAACTTTTGACGAGTGTATACCAATATTTTAACCGAAATGTTATTGCCTTGTGGAAGAGATAATTCTTAGCATTTTACGTGGTTAGTTAAATATATTTTCCACCTGTAGTGTATGAGACAGTTATTAAAACATCACACGCATAATTCTCGTTATTAGATTATCTTTGAATTCTGGCGCCAAAGGTACAGGAAGAGAACAATTATTACGTACTTACTCTTTTGATTTACTTTTATTAAATTCAACTTTTGTGGTGTCCTTGACTTCTACCTTTGGTCTTGTAGGTACATAGGTACATTACTGATATAAGATCCCTGGGTTATTTAAGGAAGTCGAGAGCTGCCTTTGAAACCTACCGTTCATTAAATGTAATTATAATTAAATAATAGAGCAAGGTGAAACTTTGTGCTGCGTCTCATTTTCTCAATAATTAATTTTCGTAATAATCATCATTTGGTATCTTGCTTCTCTATGTCCTATTACTAAATGCTGAAATATGAGAATTTTGAAACCAAATTTCTGCAAACTAGGTGAAATATAAGCTGTGATGAGCATATGTAAGATTAAATTTAATTACGTTATTGTGCAGTGGTGGCACAAAGAGAGAGAATTACAACTTTAGGGGTGTTATTTTGNATAAATGATGCCTAAATTAAATTTTTAGTTATTGTTTTCTTTTCAAAATTATCATGGGGGCTATAATATGAAAGATGCTAAAAAGAGGCGATTTCGTTTTTCTTTGCTCTTACACAAAAATATTTTGGGGTAATGATTAAAAAAGTTCCCCGACCGCTGCTCTAGAGATTTATAAGGAAGGTCAGTGCAAAATTTTAAGTCTCTAAGCCCACGGGTTTGGCCTGTGCGTTGATGTATCAGTCAGTCAGTTTCTTTCATAGATAAGATGCCCCAGTTCTTCTTTCAAAAGTTGATAGAAGCTGTATTTTTCTCTCATTTTCAGATTGGGTCATTAAACCGAAAATGATGTCGTCATCACTTCGGGAAACGTATAAATCATGAACGGTTTGACAAATTGAGACCCAGAACGCGGTCATCATAAGCGATATCAATGCTGAAGTCAACCGCCACAGCGGGTCTCCCAAAGAAAGATTGGAAACGAAGGTTCAGCCTCCGAGATAGCCGCAGAAGAGGGTTGGTAAGTACTAATTAATCTTTAAACCACCTAATGAATATCACAAAAATTTAATAATGTAATTTTATAATTACAATTAGTTAATGATCTTTCTAGAGTTTAATTATATCATTAACGTTGAGAATTGCTAAGATTAAAAGAAGTTTTGTCTTACATGCTTACTGAACTGGACGCTAGTTTCTATCCGACGTTTGTTAGTTGATGTGTTTTTAAGTATAATTACAAGTACTTACATGCATATTACACATAAATGATACAAATCAATTTAAACATAATTGAGCATTTGGTAATTTTTTTTAATAAACAATTCTGTTGCATGCTCGCCTGAAAATAGATTGCAATTTTGTTTGTTTTTAATTTTCTTTAGATTCACGTATCTGTGCCCATGTAAAAGTACAGAGTGATTGCCTACGGCACAGGTCGTTTGTCGGTCCGTGTTTTTTTTGTAAAATTCATCAAAAAGGACTAGATGTATGCGTTTGAAAGTATCGATTTCACAAGTATATTTATAGCTGTGGGGACAGTTTTATATTTAAAGAGAATTATTAAACGAGTCGAAGCGTTACCGATGAACCAGACCCTAGGGTTGCCCCTCATTTACGAAGTTATGTTTCTGCTGGTGCAAATTAAATTTGTAGCCGAAAAAATTCAATAACCATCACGTTTCCACCATCTCGGTTGTCTTAATTTTATTATTAGCAGCTATACAGTTACAGGTTCCCTCGTCCGACGATAATTTTAATCTTATTACGAAGAAAGTCTGAGTTTTCTTTTTGATTTTGAAAATTCTGCGAATGAGATTATAAGATTCAAAAATTACACTTCTTTGCATTTGTTATAACGCCGGGTGAGACGAAAATTTTTTTGAAAGAGGTCAATATAAAGTTGAATTGAAAGATCTTTCCTAAAATTGGTTTAATTATTTTGAATTAATCTAACAAGTATTTTTACAGAAATTACAATTTCTTATCGTTTTACATGATACTGTAACGAATTTCCTAGTATAGTTTCATCTGTTTGAACGCATTTTACACAAGTAATTTTATTTTACTTAACAACAGTAAATTTGCACTAATTTATTTTATTTGTTCCACACTATGTAACTGTGTTACATTGCATTCGCATTCTTTATGTCTTATGTCCAAATATTATACTGTTTAGGTATTTATCTACTGGTCTATTAAAGGTTGACCTTTCGGTTATATTATTTATATCACTGCCTGCAATTGACTGTCTTCGACTGTTTACCTGCTAATTATTTGTAGGTACCTATACTGTTGTCGAATGCTTTCGAGAATTTTTGGGGGAACATCAAATTATCTCCCGAATCTTCTCGTAATTCTTTTGTATTACACACTTTGATTTATGTTCGGCCGGGAAATAAATAAACGTGTGGTCTTATCGATTTTAAACAAAGGTCATCCCTTTGTAACGTTAAAGATTCTAAAACGTAGTATACAGTCAGCGAATCAATCACAGTAGAGGTAACATTCAACATTCTATAGATTGACTGAAAGACGTTTTTCGACAAACATTTGCAACGTGTTTTGTATAATTGATAATAGCGATGTCCCAAACAGAAAAGTACGATTGGGTTAGGTGTGTGCTAAAGTTGGTTTGCCAGTTATGAGGTTTGGGACAAAGTTGAATAACAATTCTGAGCCAAATATGGTTCAACTATCGAATGATAATATCAGGCCTGGTTTGGCATACAATCTTGGAACAATAATGAATCAGAAAGAGTTGACCTTGCGCAACCAATAACCTTTTGCCAAAGTTATAATCAATGGTGGCCCATGAACTCCGTTTAGTCAAACTTGGGCAATCCCATGGTGGCCAAAGTTCACCAAATCGTCAACTCTGGCAGTTCCTACATGGAGTTTTGTAGAATTGTGGAACTAATATTTTGCTAAATGAAACGTCAATGAAGTAACCAATGTATTAACATTTGTTTAAACAAACTGCTAAGTATAGTTAGTTTAATGATAACTATAATTTTTCTAGTTTAAATGCTTTAACGTTGTTGTTACAATTCCCCGCTTTTTTGACGGAAAGTTTTATATCGAGTTTTAAATTATTTTAAAAAGTTTCCTTCGTAATAACATTTGAAAGTCTTGAGCTTTGAATAATTTATGGCTTCGTCTATAACGTTTTAAATTGTACAGGGACCTAAGAAAAAGTTGATTATCGCAGTTTCTCTTGAATGTGTTGATAAAAAAGAAAGAAACTTATTTTCTAAAATGCCTTTAGATAATGTAAAAACGGTTTTGTTTGGGATTGGATCTTTTCATGCGTCTATTTGAATATCTTATACTTATTTTCTGATGTGTTGTATATCATTTTTATGATTTATTGTCTGAGAACTGCGACTGGATGGTATCACAAACCACTCTTCAACTATACATAATGGAGATGTAGCAAACCATCTCCTTGTCAATCCTGTAAACATTTATTTTCGTTCAACTCATATACATCGGTAAATACGAAGGAAAAATCGGTATTTTCAACTATTTTGTCTGAGGTAAGACAAATTGCGAAAACTTACTGAGTCAAAACAGACGCAATTTTCTTTTATTAATGGCAAAGGATTTAACAAAAAACTTTCATAATTTTAATGTAAGGGCTCCCTGATTGTATTTCCTCAGTCCTTTTTGTATTGACTTTACAGAAAATACTTACATGCATTTTCGAAAAATTTTTGCTTGAAAAGTTTCTAGTTTTTGAAAACGAATATTTAACGGGTACCATGTAGGTATTAGTGTATGTATGTATTTATTATTGTCAAATGAAAGATATATGTGTTATTTTGATGAGAAAAATTAAAAAGTCGAAAAAATTCGTTGTGGCACCGTTCATATAAAGGGATGTTTTCAGTAAGATCGTCGAGAAAGATTTATGGAGCAAAGCATTATGGGAACATCTAATATATCAACTGTATTAACTGCATTTAATATTTGTGCGTTTTCCTTCGAAATAAGATGAATATTTAAAATGTAATTAATTTTGTTTAAACGTTAACTACATATGTATGCATGGTAATATATATATAGAGAGAGAGAGAAATGAAAATTATAATGGTGGAGAAAACTCTGTTTTGGACTGAGAAAGTAGAATTGAGATTTACTCGTTTTTCCTGTCTCCTCCACAATATTTTTCCGACTTGGAAATTCGTGGCCCACCGCGTGCTGTACGAGCAAAGAACACAGACATGCTACGAATTCGCTCGTTTATAAACTGCGCGCATTGAAACGAGAAAATTGAAAATTTCAAAGCGAGATTTACCACCACTCGCTGGCTTTAAATAAGTTATAAACATAAATCATCTAACATCAACGAACGCACGTTTTTTTTTCCTGATTATAAATGCCATTCTATTTTGTTTTGATTGAAAGTAGCAGTTTGTTGGAATTATCTACAACATGAAGAAAATATTTTGTAATATTTCTCAAAATTCTAAACATTATTTGAGTATATCGAGTAGATCTATTACAGAATCAAAGAAACAAAATGTAGAAACCAAAGCTTTTCCTTTTTGTTTAATTCTAAAATCGGACGGAAGCCTAATATTTTTTAAGCGTCGATTTCGAGAAGGTCGACGAATACTGGAATCAATACTAGTTCGGTCATTTTTTTTTCCATAAAAGTCACAAATCCGCTTATAAACGAAGGTGAGCTTTCTATAAAAGCACGCCTTATATAAAAAGGGGCCAAATGTAAGAGTGTTTGGCGTTAAAAACCCGTGGTTGATATTAATATTAATGAGATCAAAAGGTACTTTGTTTTAACTAAAACACAAACTTCGTATTTTTCGAATCGAAGCAAAGTTGAGTTTTTAATGGAAATTGATATCTTGGAAGTTTTCCGAAATAAAAGTTTTAAACAATTTAATTTTTAATTTTCTATTACGACAGTGATTTAAATTAAACACAACATTACTGTTTGTGATTTTATTGAAACGATTGGGAGAAGCCCTTACTTTTATTTTTTAATAGATTGAAGTTTTATTAAGCGTTTTTCTGGAAAGTATGTACTCCTTAAATAATGTGGCTAAACATTACAGTTACCAGCAAATATCAATAGAGGGCGACATGCTGTCACTTTCTTGATATTTAGTTATCCTAGTTTCATTTAGCCATTTCTAGTGAATAGTAAAATTAATTACAAAACACAACGGGATTCAGTGTTCTTTATTTAACGCTTTTGTAATCACAGCAATTAAGAATGTAGTGCTTTAATATTGACTTATTTTTAGTAGCTGAAATAACTTCTATATACCATGTTGCACAAATAATCACATGGATATTATTGTCTTTTCTTCTCATAAACTAAATGCCGAATGCAGTGCAATGTTTACTCAAAGTAAATGTTAAGCAGTCATCAACGGTGGTAGCTACCTACCGATAAATAAATATTGTCCTTTTGTTTCTAAACGGTGTCTACATTTTGCAGTTTACAGTCATCTGCACGTTGGGCTTTATATCAAACATGATCCTTTACGTAATTAGGAAGTTGAAGGGTCATTTAACATTTAATAATGTTTGAGAAGGTTCTTTCTGATTAAGAATATCAACTTGCTATACAGCAAGTGCTTTTCGAAAGAATTGTAAAAAATCGGTTACTATTTTTCATATTCTTTCTTCGATTTCTTTCTCGATGCAGTCGATTTTCAGGTATATAAAGAAAATTAATTAGCCCCCCAAACTTTTAGTCAAATAAGAGTTCTTGAAAGTCGGTCAAGAATTTTGAAAACATTTATTTCGACACTTGATGTTTTTGACCGATTTTCAATTGTTAGCTTTTTTCACTTTCAATCAAAATTACCTCCAATTTGAGAGCAATTTTGTATGTATAAACTTCTACTGTAACGAAAAAAAAATAAAAATTGACTTTTGCTATTACAATAAACAGAATTTGTAATCATCGCCGTCGGCAGATTATAATTAATTGTTAAGTATAACAGACACCTGAAGTAAATCTGTAGTCGTTCTAATTTTGGTATTATTTAAGAAGCCAAAGGTTAATTGCTGTACCGTTGAAAATCGTCCATCCGTACGTAGAAATAGTAACTGTTCCATTTGGTACTTGTCCAATTAGGCGTTATTTACAGAGAGTAAGGTTTTGTGTCGGAAGCAGGAAAGTATTCCATCAAAGGAACCCTCAAAAGAGAAGTTCTATGCGGTTCGTCATGCAGAATATCCCATTTAGCGCAGACAACTGGAAAGGTGCCAACTAGAGGCTTTGGAATCGATAGCATTTTCGGATTTTCTACGATCAACCTGCAAATGCCGTTGCATTTAACATTAATAAATATGCTGAAAACACAAGGCTTCAGCAATATTTGAACGTCCCGTTTTCTAATGACTTTCCGTCTGTTGGTACCATTAGAAGTAGGTATTAGATATATGACAGAAACTAATTTCTTTCCAATAGGATTCTAGTTTCCTGATAGTTACCTCAAATCAAAAATACCGTGTCACAATTCATGATCCATTATTAATTTCGACAGCAATAGTCCTTAGCAAGGATGAAATAAAACAAAGCTATAACTTCGTAACATTCGTTTAAAATCTATATAGGTATGGAATATATACATACCTTTTATCGAGTTAAAGGTCTCGGGATTCTAAGGTCATTAAAAAACGAAAGCGGAACGATCGGTAGCACGGTTTATGCGTGCGTGATTAAAACGTACGCCATAAAAGTACATGTACTTTTCTGAAATTGCGCGAAAAGCTTCAAGTTCTTGTAGACGAGCTTTTCACGAGTATCGTAGTTATGTGGTTGTGGGTTGTACCAAACACGTATCAAATAAAAGGCATATGTACGTAAAGTGAAATGCTGAACTTTAGAGTTTTATAGCTTTAGCGATTTTGCCTTTTGGTGTTGTTGAAAGTTGCTTATATCTGTGTTCGTAACAACAGCTTTAGAGGCTTTTAGCAACACTAAGTTATTGACTGCATTATCGTTCTTCCTTCTGAGTTCATTAAGACACTTGTAGAAGAGCCCTCTTAATATTCTAGAGAGAGTTCTGAACTTGATCCTTTTAGGATAATTGGGACCAAAACAACAATCTAGAATTGATTTGGATTAAACTGTCAGGGAGCTCAAACATTTGGAAGTAGTATTTTCTGAACTGCCTATCCTATTAATTAAGTTTTCAATATGCTTTTGTAAATACTTAATTTGGGGACTACCGCGCGGTTAGACTGTTTGGCCAGCTTTTTATTCGGCAGACGTACTGTCGACGATAAAGCGGTGTAATATTGCGACGCTTCTATTGTTATTTTGCTTGACTGATTAAATGAAGTCGTATTTGACCTTAATTGAATGCGGGCAAAGGCGGGAAGTTCGATCTTAATCAGTCTGCTTAACAAACACCTGCTTGCACCGTCTGTAAGAGAACAGACAACGAGACACGTGGGATGTACCTAATGAAAATCCTTGACTTATTAACTGAAGTTAGTAATTTAAACGGAAGGGTGTCAAACACGATTCAATAAAGGAAAATACGTTAAACACCTTCTTTGCAATATGTAGGTAGTTAATCAATATATTAATTCTGGACACATCTTGAATATTCCCGCAGATAGGGATCTATCGATGGTGGATAAAGTTTGTATTAAAAGCGCGGACCGTACCCTGAGTGACACATATTTGCCGCATAACAATAGAAGTTTCGGTATTCTTGAGAAGAATGAAGAATCCTTCAGAGAATTCGACAATAATAAGGTTACACTGTTGGATCTATAAAATTGATATTTATAAATTGTAATTGCTCATTGCAAATTAAATGAATGGTATTAGATAGATCAGTACTGCATGAAAATAAATAAAAGTAAAACTAAAATACTGGTATGCAAGGGAAGAAAAAGTAGGGAAAGAGCGAATATAAAGATAGGAGACGAAAAATTAGAAGAAGTGGCTGATTTTAGATACCTAGGAAGTCAGATAAATGAGGATGGAAGGAGTAGTAGGGATATAAAGCAGAGGATAGCGCAGGGTCGTGTCGCCTTTAATAAAAAGAAGTCACTTCTATGCTCGCGAACGGTTAATTTAGAAATTCGAAAAAGGTTGTTAAAGGTGTATGTTTGGAGCACGGCGTTGTACGGGTGTGAAACATGGACAGTGGGAGCGGCGGAAAAGAAAAGGTTAGTAGCGTTCGAAATGTGGTGTTGTAGGCGGATGATGAGGATAACGTGGGTAGAAAAGGTTAGAAATGAAGAGGTACTGGAAAGAATAGGAGAACAGAGGACTCTATGGAAGTCAATAAAAAATAGGCGAGATAGGTTGGTAGGACACCTTCTCAGGCATGAAGACATATTAGAGGCAGAAACAGAAGTTAGGAGGGGTAGAGGTAGACCTAGATTAGATTACTGTTCGCAAATAGTTAAGGATGTGTATTGTTCTAGTTTTAGGGAAATGCGAAGTTTAGCTCAGGATAGGAAAGAGTGGAGGTTCATGTCCAACCAGTCTTAGGACTGATGATGATTAGGTTATGAAAATCTTTCAAGCTGATGTAGAAGATGCAGAGGTAAATTAGTTTGTAAAACGTTCACCATTAAGTTTTGAATTGCCTCTTATAGAATCCTAACTAAAATACAGTACACAAGTGGGTTGTGGCATGAAAATGTGTCGTTAATTTAGTAGAGTATGAAGCACAAGTATGTGAGTAAACAATTTCCTTTCATTGACTACTTGTAATACTAAAACCGCAGAACTAGAACTCGAATACAATCGATACTGTAGAGCTAAAAGTCAGAAAATCCAAGTTGGCTCGGGTCCAAAAGTTGCTTCAGTAAATTATTGTCTTAATATTTTTTTTGATGTGCTGCATGTAAACAACAGACAGATAGTCCGATCGTAATTTACTGAATATCGTGGAGAATGGACATTTTGTTTTGACATATGTTTATGCTGGAAAAGTCGATACTCTTCACGCATTTTGTTTTCTGTTTTTTTTTTCGTTATATTTTCAGAGGAATAACTGAAACGTATACTATATTAAGAAGTGATTATTTTATCAGTAAATCCAAATATAGGTTTGCTTTCTTCCGTTTTTGGCAGTTTTATACATCTACGTCAAACGTAAATATATTTTTCTAGGACACAACCGTGCTTTAGGGTTTAATTTTTTATAAAGCCCTTATTAATAGATTTCGACGTCTAGCTTATAAGGATCTTCAGTATGCAAGAGCTACTATTAGAGCAAATATTACACACAAACATTCGACTTTACTAAAAAAGAATTGAAAATAAAGCCAGACAAACGCTTGTCCTTTTGATATATTCACTTTTCAATTTATTTTTTGTGTTAAGCCTGGATTTTGTTTATTCTTATTCTGGTTTTCGTCCTTTGGCTACAGAGGAGTAGTCCTCAATCACCGAACAGTTTTTCGGGAAGAAGTCTGCTTTTGTTGTTTTTCGATTAACGTCGACTAAACCTACTTCTCCTTTTTTCTAGGACACTCGATCCCAATCGGGAGGTAGCAGGCGTTGGACAAGTCTCAGACATTATCCTCATATGCATCCTGAACAAGTGAATCTCACGTCACCGCCATCAATGCCGTCGACTTCTACCAATAGTCCTGTACCGGAGGTTGTGAAGAAAAGCAATTGGCAGGTTATCGAACATTTCGGTTCGACTAACAAAGGAAGTCTTTCATCTTCTTTGATTGCGGTAAGGCATTTATTAACAAGTTACTGAAAAACTCCGTTGTTAATATTATGTCAGCACAGGGCAAAATAGCATTACGTAGTTAGTATCAGCAATTTCTTATGCTGAAGTGTACGATGTGTTGCAAACCTATTTACAAACAATTCCTTTAAATTTAATTTTTCAAATAATTTTTAAGAAAATGATAAAACAAATTGTTCACAAAAGTGAATTTCGACCACTCGAAGCAATGGTACTAACAGTTTCGAGCTCACAGTGACTGATAGGGGGGAAAAACTAGTTGGATTAATAATATTTTTGATTATATTCTGACTTTTATTGAATGATAATCTTTGTATTAATACTGACAGATTAGTGTCACCCCTTTCCGTGTTAAGTATATTTAATTTAAACAACTTCTCGAATAGATACTGTGTGTGGAATGGTTGCAGATGAACGGTTTTCTTTGTCGAACTGGAGCAAGCTGTTAACGCCATAAAAGGTTAAGCGTTACTTGGAGTTGTCGCTTAAAAGACAGTCGAAGGATAATTAACAGCAAAAGTCGCAAATGTAATGTACCGAAAAGTTTCTAATTAAATGATGAATTGGTGTTAAAGTTCCGTTTCGATGAGAAACTTTAGGCAACTTAGAAAATTACTTCAGTCTTTTGGAAACAAGATTTCTAAGGGTGGATGTGCTGCTGCGCAAGAAGAGGCAATACGCTTTCCAAATATCTTCCTTGTTATAGAAAAATAATGAAAATTAGAGTCGTATCTTAACTGTTCTTGTATTATTTTTTTATACGCGATCTTGATATTCTCTTGGTTTCAAGAAATCTTGGATGAAAAACATGTTAAATATTAAAATATTATATAATTTTTATTTATTTTGTTATACATTTTTAATTGTAACTTTTTACATCTCCGGAAGCTTTGATTCAAAAACGAGATATACTTAACTTTTGTACTTAACAAATACTGTTATTCTGTTTTCCATATCGATTTAAATCAATAAATAAATAAATGCTCAGTTGAGGGTTAAAAATATATGACAATTCTCCTTGAAAATAGAACGCTTGCTGTATTGAGTGATCAATTTTGATAACTGCTTGTACAAGAAATTGCTGACTGGGATTATATCTTCAAGGTTTCGAACTGCCAATCCACTTGGGGCTTATCAGAATTGGGGATGTCGTAAATAATTATTATTTCCATGAGATTTAGGATGCTTCTATCAGTAATCCCATGACGTATGCCCCGATTACAGTTACGAAAAATTGGAATCTTTCTACCTCATTTTGGTCCAATATTCTTGGCAGAAAGTGAAATAACTCGCAATAAATACAAATCATCATAAATTGGAGTATTAAGGAGAATGTGGGGTAGCTTATTTATTACCTTTATTGAAATATTAACTGTTTTTCATAAAATAAAAATATGAAGCCTCTTGTAAAAAGTATTCCTTCTAGAGGACTGAATAAAGCATTATTGACATCAGTGCGTGTCAAGAATGGAATTGATTTTCTAATCACAAAATTTTTACACATTAAAACTGAATTTACGTACGTTTTAATATATCTCTGATTTAAATCCAGTTATAGAGGTAAAACTTAAAGATTCTGCTAGATATTTTGGTGAAATTGCAGAAACTCTGCCATAATGCTCACCCTTCCGTCAATAACTAACTTCCTCTAGAATTAATTAGTGTCGCATGACTTTGAAATTCTTCGACGCTTCGGAGGTTCGACAGCTGTAGCTGCAGATGCAAATGTTGGATTTGTTGAGGCTATCAGCCAATTTTGTATGCAAACAGTTCGTGAATTTTAGTTGTGAGTTTGTTGCACTGATATTCCAATATTTGAAGTGGATTTTGGAAGAACAACGAGAACGACGTTGTAATTGGAATCAAACAGAACAACGACAACGGGAAACGACTCTTCAAAAGATGTCATCGCGTTCGACCAATTTGCTTTCAAATTATGTGTATTTCACGTTTATGCGAATGTATTAAGCTAGACTCTTGATACTTCAAAAGCGACACATTTGAATAGTAACAGTAATCTCTACCCTTTTCACTCCTTGCTTTTAAAATATGTCTCCAACTAGCCTTTGTACCAACGTATCTCGCCTATTTCTTATTGTAATACCTCTTCATTTCTAATTTTTAACATCTTCCTAAATTTCCGCAGTGTCCACCATTCATGACTTACTTATACCTTCAAACAACGAATTTCCAAATTAAACCATCGTTTTTTGTAAAAATTGTTCCGACTCTGCTCTATTCTTTATTTTATATGCCTCTAGCGCTTTTTCCATCTTGAATTATCTGTCTCTCTGTTCTTTATCATCATCATCATAAGGTCGTCAGTCCTAAAACTGGTTGGACACGCACCTCGACTCTTTCATATCTTGCGCTAATCTTCGCATTTCCCTAAAACTAGAACAACCCACATTCTTAACTATTTACGAACAATAATCTAATCTAGGTCTACCTCTACTCCTCCTAACTTCCGTTTCTGCCCTTAGTATGTCTCTAACTAGACCTCCATGCTACTAATCTAACTCATCTATTTCTTATTAACTTCCATAGAGTCCTCTGTTCTCTTACTTATTTTAATACCTCTTCATTTCTAACCTTCTGTAGCGACCACGAGCGTGATTGTGTGCGATAGGGCATACATGTGTGTGAGCGGCTTATCGATTCGCCGACTAGCCGCGGGCGCTTTTCTTCATGTGCGCCGTATCTGTAAACGTGTGTGTAGTACCTGCGTTCCGGGAAAGCAATTAAACCGTTCAAAGAAAACGAGACTTCTCTGGACGGTTGGAGAACGTTGCCGAAAGGAGGCAAGGGAGTATAAAAAGGAAGAGACGAGTAGAAATAAATTGACCGTTGCAGAGGTGAATCAAGAGATAAATAGACACTGATAGAAGTGAAATAAATAGAACTGTGAATAGTAACAGTAGTGTAAATAAATAGAATAATTACCTAAGTTTAGTAATAAGTTAATAGTGTTTTAAAGTCCTTTGCTAATAATTAGTGTAAATAAATAGCTTTTGTCGTTGTTAGTCTTAAAAGTTAATTTGCTAAACCCACGAACATTACACTTCTCTATCCACGGTATCCTCAGAATTCGCCTGTAACACTCTGTTTTTTACATATTATTAATTCTTTCCCTGGAGATTGTACAGTTATCGTGGAGAGTATAACTATTTTATTAGCTTAAGTGTATTGTGGAGTTTTAATAAGTATCAAATTTTTTAAAATTTCTTTTGATTCTGCTAAAATAACAATTGGGTGTCCCGTAGTAATCAATAACCTCGATTACGTATAAATTGTGTTTTGCCCGCCCTTATTTCATACTCCATTGCCGTTTATTTTTCCGCTTTATATTAATTATGCTTTGGTCGAGACGATGATTAAAAGCTTTAAACATGCAAATGTTAGCTAAATATTAATTAAGCAGACGCTTCTAAAAGCCCACGCCGCAATGCATATCCCAAAGAAAACGTCCAAAAGTCTGTAATGCAAATAGGCAAATAATTAATTAATATTTCTTGTAAAGACTACTCTTCCATAACAGATTTTAATCGTGCTTCATCCATCATCAATAATTAATTTAGTACCCAAATGATTCGCTTTTCTACTTGTAAACATCTTTAATATGTTCGTAATTGTTAGGTGTTCGCTATCAAAATAAAACGATTACGATTTCGGTTTGCTTCTTTTTTATTAATGGGAAAATTTTTATAGACTACAAATTACCTCAAATTAATGAGGAAAATTGTTGCTGTTGTCACACCTTTGGTTTTACGCTTTGATCACTAAGCCACTGGAGGTGACAGTAGAAAGACCGACGAAACGTTACTTATTAGGTCATAGATTCGTCGAACTAACGTATATATATCATATGAAATAATAATTAAAGAAACTTTTAATAGTAGTTAATGTTTAATATTAGTGTAAAAATGTATTTCATATGATATTTGTTTTTTTTAATTTGGAGTATTGATTGCCAGTTAAAGTATAATAACGGTCCAGCTCCAAAACATTTTTAATATCTTATATCCAGTTATACTGTTCATTTTGCAGTATATAAATACCTACTTATACGGATTTAACATTATCATTATTTTTAGCTTTTTATCTCCTTGGGTAAGATTAAACTACTGTTGAACAAATAATCCTCCTTAAAGACATATTTTAGCTTTTGTCAGTTAACGGCTTTTCCGGAATAGTAATTTTCTTTCAATACGAAGAACATGTTCTTATAGAACCTTTCATCATACGCATTTGTGTTGTGCTGCTGTTATTCTATCAGTTTCACGAAAATCTTGCATCCCTAACCATATTCGTACAAAAGAACAGTTCTGTGTTAAATTTTTTTCTTCCTTCAAACGACTTCGTTTCAAATCCCCTTTATCCGATTTTTCTTCGATAGATTTACAATTTGACGTGTATTCAAAGAAAAGCCAGATCCAAAAATATTTTCGACACTGTCACTTCATTTTCTTTTGCAGGGTTTTACTCTTAATGCAATGTTTACGTTCTGCAACTCACAAAAAGTACTCCAAAGGTATTAAATCCATAAAAACCTTCTAAATGAAAAGGGAAACATGTTTTACTTTTTAAATTATTTATATTCGTTAGGGTTCAAATACACTGACGTGAAACACTTCACTTATTTGACTTTTACTTTCTGGTTTAATAAATACTGCAAGTAAGCGTTGTTTCTTGTAAAAGAAATTTTGTATTGCTATTTTTCGTTTTTTTTTTTGTTTCTTTTGTAACTGTATTTATCTAAATAGGTATCTGTAGTATGAAGACCGTCAATTTCCTGAAGCCATTCTGAGTAAAAAGTTGGGAAATTTCATTTTCCATCGTAGAAATTATTAAAGCCAGTTTAATTTGATGCTATTTTGAGCCCTTGGCTATTAAAATTTTTGTCGNAGGACAGCAAGCCAGTCTAGATAAATCCTTGTATAAGGTCTTTTATAAAAAAAAAATATATACATCACGTTCGTTCC